CTACTTAGTAAGGAAGTAACTCTGTTGGCTGCTTGGCCATAGCTCAGCTAAAGAGGGAGTGTAAAGAGAAGTTTATTCATTGAAAACCTTCCAATTCAGAACCAGTGGTGGCAAGAGAAAAATAAGTGTGGCCCTCTGAATGAGTGATTTTACAGCCTGTGACCAGAAGCCTTCTTGAGAGTTTGTAGCCAAAGAGAGAGAAAAAAAGTCTTGTGACCAATCGATCTTTGATTTCTACATTAATCTTCTTGGGGTGAAGAAAACACCATGGGACATCAGTTTACTCAGCTGCCTTAAGGGGAGATTCTGACATGGCCCTTTCTGAAGACATCAAAGAGGGGCAGAAAGGTCTCTCCCACAAATGAGGCTTCAGAGAAGGTGTACAGATGGTCTGCTGTGTCAGCATTGTAGAAAGCAACCCTCCCAGCTGCACAATTCAGAGACACTCGGATTCTTTTGAGGTCATCACTTGGAGACAAGCAAGTGAACGTAGGATGGCTGGTAGAGCTGTATTCACCTCCCCACTTCCCTACAGCCAAGATACCTCCCTTCGGACTCCAGACAACAGGATCCTTTCTCTCCACTGACTCTCGGGTGACCCCTACCAGCCATTGTTCCTCACTTCCCACAACAATGTCCCAGAAATGTCTGCCTGCTGTGAATCTTTCCTGTCCCAGCACTATAACATGTTTGGCAAATCTCTTAGGGTTGTCAGGCAGATCTTGACTTTTGGATCCACATGTGACACTTTTACGATCTTCAGAAACAATAAGCTGCAGATGAGCCGTGTCTGGATCCAGGGTTACATTTGCTGCAGGAGATGAGAGTTGAGAGGAAAAAGATAAAGAACAACCTCAATTAAAGAATCCACTGACCAACATGATGACCCCAAGCATGCCAGAGGAATCAAATTCAAAACCAATAGGCCCTTCAAGTACTGCAGGCTTGGTAGGGCCTTCTCCTTTTTTTCCAGAGCTTCCTACAACAATATGCTGAATCTCTTAACTTATATTCAAAACACAAATCCCTCTCCTATCATTCAAGATATCTTGCAGTAAGAAAAAGTGACAGAAAACCGATAGACTTCCTTGGGTTTGAGCAGGGCCAGAGGAAAGGAAAATAGAGGGGAAAGAAGGTGATAAACAGGGTGATTTCAAATTAACTTTTTGTGTGCAAACAGATTGTTTCATTCACAGAAGCACACAGGCAAAACGTGTGGGTTTTTGTATTTCTCTTGAGTCCCCTGTCTGGACCTTGCAACGGACGATGCTTTAAGGAAAAAAGGCAGACTATCTGCACAGCGCCAGAGCAATCGGGAATGTTCTAGAGCAGGCTTGTCCAACCTGCGGCCCGAGGGCCGCATGCGGCCCAGGTCAGCTCGTAATGCGGCCCAGTGCAATTTTTTATTTTTAAAGAAATTCCAAAGTTTCAAGTTACACTGCCGGCGCTTGTGGCCCGAATGTGGCCGGGGCATGTCACAATAGTAGAGGGGGATAGAGGGAAGGAAGCAGTGGGAGGGGAGGGGATAGGGGGGCTGCGTGACTGCATTGCACCGTCCCTGTCAATAGTTGGACCCCCTCCCGGCCCCATAAAGCTGCCGGAGTCGAAGCTGGCAGCCTCTGCTGTCTGAGATTGCAGCTGCCGGTAAGCGCACTTGGAGCGGGGCTGCGGAGGATGGCTAGGGCTGCCCCCCCATGCGGCCCAAACCAAATTTTCATCTTCTAATGTGGCCCAGGGAAGGTGAAAGGTTGGACACCCCTGTTCTAGAGCTTTATGATACGTTCGTCAAGGAACGCCCCTCTAGTACACGCGGTCCGCCCGTCCTGACAATTACCTCAGTTCCCAAGAAAAACCTGCCGCTGCGGCAAAGTGATACAGGAGTGAGAGACAGAGGGGAGGATGGGCCGGAAGTGTGAATTCACACATGACCACTCGAAGAACCAGAGTTACAGGTAAGTAACCTCTCTTTCTTCTTCGTAGTCTCTGTGAATGCACACTAATGGGTGATTAACGACCTAACTTACCAGAGGAGGGAACGTCACGGAAGAACAGAAGAAAGTACAGCTCTCCCAAATGCTGCATCCTTTTTGGCTCTAAGATCCAGGTGATAACGGGTGGCAAACGTAGAGAGTGTTGCCCATGAAGCAGCCTTGCAAATGTCTGGGAGTGGTACTCCACAAAGAAAGGCCGCAGAGGTAGCCAGAGCTCTGGCAGAATGATCCTTAATACCAACAGGTAGAGGCTGTTGGGTGAGTTGATTTGTCCGTTTTATAGTTGCAACGAGCCAATGGGATACAGTTTGAGCGGAAATATGAGAACCTCTGTGAGGGAGGCGGGGTGTTACAAAAAGTCATTTTGATTTGCGCAAGGAAGACGTCCGTGAGACATAGGAAGCAAGTGTATGTCTAACGTCCAACGTGTATAACGACCACTCAAGGTTAGTCGTAGTTGATGGGAAAAAGGTAGGTAGAACAATGGGTTGGAAGAGGTGAAAATCCGAGAGAACCTTTCGTAGAAAGGAGACATCAGGGAAAAGGGTGACTTAGTCTGGGTGAAATTGAAGAAATGGAGGATCGACTGTGTCTGAATTCACAAGAATTGGTGCAAGAAATCTTCATTTTTTTAAAATTTGGAGTGTTCCGATAATGAAAGGGAGTTCAGTACCAGGGTGGACTTTGCTGAACTGGAGGATTTACACTTCAATTTCGGTTTAGTCTTGGAAACTGATTTAACTGTTGGAGAAGTGGTAGTTGCACCTGGAGATTCTTTAGGGGGCTGAGATGTTTGGGACGGTTCTATAGTCTGAGCTGGTGGCAAAGAACGTTCCCAGAGGAATGACCTGAGATGCTGTTGTCTGAGTTTAAGGGCTTGTTTAGTGAAGTTCAGGCAGAACTGACAAATAGAAGGCTGGTGAGATTCCCCCAGGCCAAAAAGACAGAGATTGTGACCATCTGTGAGGGGAACTTTGTTGGAGCATGAGGTGCACCATTTAAATGGGGGACGAGGGGCCATAAATGGTGGAAAGGGGAAAAATGGGGGGAGGGGCAATAGGGACAAATTGCTTGAAAAGTCTCTTACAATTTTCCTTTGATTGTATAGAAGCTGGGAAGAATCACCTGAAAAGTCTTTTTCCAATTTTCCTCAGATTAAAGAAGCAACGACGGATGGAGCTCGACGAAAGGGGAGACCTCAGCGGTGGCAAAAAGGAACTGAGGCAATTGCCAAGATGGGCGGATCACATGTACGAGGGGGCAGTTCTTGACGAACGTATCATAAAGCTCTAGAACACTCCGGAGAGCTCTCCACAAGCGCAGATTAAATCCAGGTTCTGTGTAAGATGAATTTCAAAGAGATTGTTGTGCACAGTTGTTTGTCAGGCACAGAGATAAGGAAGCAAGGTCAAGCAGTCCAGAAGAAGGCCCCAGAAGGAGACGAAACATCAGGCCGCTCAATTGGAAAAGCTACCTGGGCCTGGAACTTCTCAGGAGAACTTTGGGCGGTGATCCGAGTTACGCCTACGTGGACTTAATTGGTTGACAGCTTGAAAGTGTAATGAAGAAGGTGGTTCTAAAGAGATGTCAAATGAGAGGGTCTGTGTATGTAAAAAAGTTGCTGTGGAATATGAAACACATAGGCTGATATGCATTCCGCCAAATCAGTGACCCTGGGCACTTTTAAAAGTCAATTAAAAACATGGCTATACATTCAGGCCTTCTGTCCAGCTAATACCTGATTTTTCTGTTTATTCTTCTTTTATTTATTGTCTACTCTATCTTTGTATTGTCTATGTTATAGCACGATTTATGTAATTTTTTGTTTTATTTTATTGTTTATACTATACTGGAAGCCGCCTAGAGTGGTCTTTTAGGCCAGATAGGTGGGGTATAAATAAAATAAAATAAATAAATAAATCCCTCCCCTGAACTTGGTCCTCAAACAGACATTTACCTTTCTGCAGCCGAAGTCCATGTACCAGAGCATCTGGGCAAAGAAAAATGCACAAACGTCAGGCATCAGAACACTAAGTCTACAAGAGCCCTGATTAATAAAATACCAGCTCATAACATAGCTGTTGTTGTGTCCTTACTTCAAGTGAAGGAGTTAACAAACAACACAGAAGGTGTGCGGCTCAGAATGAGGCAGGTTGGAAGAGTGGTTCCTTTTCCCCACTGATGCAGAACCACTCCCTCCAAGCTTCCATCTCAATTTTAATTTTACCTTGAATGTCACCTGGATTCTTCTGATTTGAATTTCTACCCCAAAAGACATCCTCTCTCTTCCCACCTCCGCTGGTCCTTCCCTTTGATCCCCATTGCCATTCTCTGCCCTGTCTCCGCCTGTTGTCTCTTTCCCTCCCATGGAAGAGGAAGAGGAAGAAGCCCTTCCCCCAATGACATCACAGGCGGCGTCTTGGATGTTCAAAACGTGCACAGCCCATAGGAACAGGGCTTGTCTGGGACAAAAGAAACAGGGCTGACACGTCTGGAACAAAAGGGTCTTCCGAAAAACAAAACAAACAGCAACAACAAAACCCACTTCCCAAATGAAGGGAAATAATCCTGAAGTTGAAGGGAACTGGAAAAGATCTATTCAGATCTCCTGTAACTTCATGTAGGCCTATTAAACAGGCCAAATCAATGGGCAAAGGAAGCGCAAACAGGAAGCATGGATGAGCCTAATTCTGGCAAAGAGCAAATCCTCCTTATAAATGCTTAAACTGCTTCCAGATAACATCACTGTATCAGGCCTCTTTACTGGGGATGGGATTTGCATATTTCTGGGCTTCATCTCCCAGAATCTGCACAGAATCCAACGGGCAGAATTCTGGGAGGCAGTAATAAGAGAGAAGGATAGGAAGGGTCAGAGAAACCTCTCATGTTAACTCCGGAACAAAAGCTATGCAGTTGTTTTTCCTTACCTTTGAACTGGTCCATGATGGCTACTAGAAAAGGATTTATATCACAAAAATCCCAAATCTTCCACTTCACTTCCGGAAGAAAGACAACTGTATTCTGAAACGTAACTTTTTCGTCACTCCTGATGGAAAAAAAAACATAGTGAACATGCCACCTCTCCCTCTCGTATTTGGGAGCACTTAACATACTTGTCCTCTTCATGGTTTGCTGCCTTGTTGTAGCAAAGGGGCTTGAGTAATCCAGAGAAGCTATGGGCTATGCTGTGCAGGGACACGCCTGGAGCAGGAATTGGCAATGCCACTCAAGTATCTTTGCCAAGAAAATTCCATGGACACAAACGAAAGGCTAAAGGATATGATGCTGGAAGATCAGCCCCTCAGGTCGGAAGGCATCCAACATGCTACTGAGGAAGAGTGGAGGACAAGTACAAGTAGCTCCAGAGTGGTTGGGCCAAAGCCGAAAGGATGCTCAGCTGTGGGCGTGCCTGGAAGTGAAAGAAAGTCCAATGCTACAAAGAAAAATACTGCATAGGAACCTGGAATGTAAGATCTATGAACCTTGGGAAGCTGGATGTGGTCAAACAGGAGATGGCAAGAATCAACATTGACATCCTGGGGTATCAGTGAACTAAAATGGAGAGGAACGGGCAAATTCAATTCAGACGATTATTATTCTACTATTGTGGTGAAGAATCCCATAGAAGAAATGGAGTAGCCCTCATAGTCAACAAAAGAGTGGGAAAAGCTGTAATTGGGTATAATCTCAAAAATGATTGAACAATTTCAATACAAATTCAAGGCAGACCTTTCAACATCACAATAATCCAAGCTTATGCACCAACCACTAATGCTGAGGAGACTGAAATTGACCAAATTTATGAAGACTTGCAACACCTTCACCAAAGAAAGATGTTCTTCTCATTCTAGGGGACTGGAATGCTAAAATAGGGAGTCAAGAGATAAAAGGAACAACAGGCAAGTTTGGCCTTGGAGTTCAGAACGAAGCAGGACAAAGGCTAATAGAGTTTTGTCAATAGAATAAGCTGGTCATCACAAACACTCTTTTCCAACAACACAAGAGGCGACTCTATACATGAAAATCACCAGATGGGCAATATCGAAATCAGATTGATTATATTCTCTGCAGCCAAAGATGGAGAAGCTCTATACAGTCAGCAAAAACAAGACCTGGAGCTGACTGCGGCTCTGATCATCATAGCAAAATTCAAGCTTAGACTGAAGAGAATAGGAAAAACCACTGGGCCACTCAGGTATAATCTAAACCAAATCCCTTATGAATACACAGTGGAAGTAAAGAACAGATTTAAGGAACTAGAATTGGTGGACAGAGCTACAGCTCACTGTTGGTTGTGTCTCCAAATTTCTCCTTAGCCAAGCTCAAGTCAGTAAGGCTGTGGCCTAATCTTTCTCTACAAGCTTCTTTTGAGAGACGCTGAATCCAAGTCATGAGGCATGAGTTTTCTTCAAGGATTTTACAGTTCTGAAGGGTATGGAACTAAACTAACACTGACTAACAGTGCCTCAAAGGAGTTTGGAAAGGCAGCATAACACAACAGAGACCACAGACCTGCACCGTCTCTGCTTCTGTTTTGCATTAAGCTTGCTATTGAAAGAGTGAGAGAAAGAGAGAGAGAGAGAGAGAGAGAGAGAGAGAGTGTAGAACATACCAAGCCACCCAGTCTGTGTGCATGTTCTGTGCCATCAAGTTGGAACTGACTTCATAGGCTTTCAAGGTAAGTGAGTTATTTAAGGAATGGTTTTACCAGTTCCAGTCCGCTTGTGAGTTTCCATGGCTGAACATAGATTTGAACCCTGTTCTCCAGAGTCCTAGTCACTTTATCTACTACAGCACACTGGAAAACCCAGACTATATTCCACTAAAGCAGTGGTTTTCAACATTGGGTCCCCAGATGTTCCTGAAAAAAGAACTCCCAGAAGCCTTCACCATTAGCTGTGCTGGCTAAGATTTCTGGGAGTTGTAGTCCAACAACATCTGGGGAATCAAGGTTGGAAATTACTGTGTTAAAGGGGTGAAAAAGAAGAAACCAATTAACTTGTAGGTATTGAAAATAGTAGCTGAACCACAAGTTGCTAGAATGAAGCCCAGCATCTTCGTTAAACAAGATCAATTGGGAAACAGCCTTTTTATGACTAGGAAAAGCACAAATGTATATAAGGATACTGTAGCGGAATCCAAAAAGGTGATGTCATTCCTGCCTGTCCATCACAGCAGCTAAGGGGGAGGAGCCAAGGATAGAGCAGGAGGGGCAGAGTTAGAGTGACAGTTAGAGGGAGCTGAAGAGACAGTTAGGGACAGTTGGAGTTACGGGGAGGTAGAAAGAGTCCGGGACCAGAAGATGTATAGAGAGTGTTAGGGTTTAGGAATAGATCAAAAGGGTTTAGGAAAGGAAATTAAAAGTAAAACACATGGAACCAGCAGGAATGAACGTATAAGCATAACAAGAGATATATAAAATAGATAGTAAAGTGATTGACTGCATGATCCTAAAAGTATAAACACCTGAACCAACTCATATATGATTTTCCTGTTGAATAATAATAAAAGAATGCTTATATGCAAAATACATCATGCAAAAGGCCAGACTGGAGGAATCCAAAGCCTGAATTACGATTGCCGGAAGAAATATCAACAACCTCAGATATGCAGATGACACCACTCTGATGGCAGAAAGTAAAGAGGAATTAAAGAACCTCATAATGAGGCTGGAAGAGGAGAGTGCAAAAAACAGTCTGAAGCTCAACATCAAAAGTAAGATCATGGCCACTGGTCCCATCACCTCCTGGCAAATAGAAGGGGAAGATATGGAGGCAGTGACAGATTTCACTTTCTTGGGCTCCATGATCACTGCAGATGGTGACAGCTGCCACGAAATTAAAAGATGTCTGCTTCTTGGGAGGAAAGTGATGACAAACCTCGACAGCATCTTAAAAAGCAGAGAATCATATTGCCAACAAAAGTCCAAATAGTCAAAGCTATGTTTTTTCCTGTAGTGATGTATGGAATTGACAGCTGGAACATAAAGAAAGCTGACTGCCAAGAATTGATGCCTTTGAATTGTGGTGCTGGAGAAGACTGGAAATCAACTCTGAGTGCTCACTGGAAGGACAGATCCTGAAGCTGAGGCTCCAATACTTTGGCCATCTCATGAGAAGACTCCCTGGAAAAGATGCTGATTTTGGGAAAGTGTGAAGGCAAGAGGAGAAGGGGACGACAGAAGACGAGATGGTTTGACAGTGTCATCAAAGCTACCAGAATGAATTTGACCCAACTCTGGGAGGCAGTAGATCCATAGAGTCACAAAGAGTCGGACATGACTAAATGACTAAACAACAACATACTTGTAACAGTGTGGAGATAGCACACCTGCAGCTCCTGCTCCTAAAGATACTATTCTCACATTTTACACATGACGGCAGCCTTTGTAATTAGTGTCATCTTTTACCATCCTGGTTTGCTATGAAGAACATAATACTGTACTCCGCCACATTTTATTGAGTAGTATTAGTAATATAAAGCTATTAATTAACTAATAATGCTATTAATAAACTGGTTTGCTAATGCCCAGGGTAGAAAAACAGAGGTGCTCTAAGTTCAAAAACATAACTATTTTTTCATCATCATCATCTCAAAACTGCAAAGCTGCGAATAGAAATCTGGAAAGGCAAAGATGTTGTGCCAGGAGACTGGAGAATTATATGATCTTATGTCCAGACCCTTCCCAGCATTGTGAAGCAGTAACAGAAACAAGAAGATACACTTACCTCTGCAGGATGCTTCCAACATCCTTGGGGAGAAAAAGAGAAACAGAAAGAGAGAGTTTAGTGCCATCATTACCAGGTGATAACGCCCACTGGCCTTCCTTCTGCCACAAGGAGTCCACTCCAATCAGGCACTGAGGAGAAGACAGAGACTCCCACAGTGAAGTTGAAGGAAGCCTTTAACTGGGTCCTGGTCTCTCACAGAGAAAAGGAGTCAAAGGGTGTATCAACAGAGGAGAATTTTAGCATGTTAAGGGCCATGTTGGGAGGGAGTGTTTCTTCTTTTCCAACCATCTCAGTCTATTTTCTATGTAGAATTACGCTCTTTCATGGCACGAACATGACCTCAGACTACTTAATTTACGCGTATTTTTCGCTCCATAAGATGCACTGCTCCATAAGACGCACCAAATTTTTAGCAGAAGAAAACCGGGAAAAATAATCTGTTTACTTCGCTCCATAAGACGCACAGACTTTCCAACCCCGTTTTGTGGAAAAAAGTGCGTCTTATAGTGTGAAAAATACGGTATCTTTTTAATTTCCATCTTGAAAGACTATTTATTGTTGTGAAATTGTCATAAAATTGTTGCCATATTACAATTGTTTTTAATCTATTTGTTGTGAGCCGCCCAGAGTAGACATTGTCTAGATGGGTGGCATATAAGTCTAATAAATAATAATTATTATTATACCATAACTTTCTAACCTGAGGGAGGT